CATGTGAGTCCACCAGAAGGACTGAGAGACCGACAGAAAGGTCTTCTCGCGGTCCAAGTGGCCGCTGGAGGGCGCGTCATGCGCCTCCGCGAGGATGTCGAACTTCAGGTCCTCGTCGTTGGGTACGACCACCCGTGGAGGATCAGTGGGCTCCACCCGATAATAGAGGAGGCCCTCCTTCAACTCATATCGGTGGAGCCGTGAGCGCTGTCGCGACGAGAGCCAGTCGGACTTCGCGCTCGTTCCGGCCTTAAGGAACTTGACGATAGGCGCGACAGCCTCATCGTCCCGATACGCCATGCGTATCCGATCATATAGATCCGTTGTCACCCGCGTGATGTGGGCCAACTCATAGTCGGGACGCCGAGAGAGGGCGTCCGCAAGCACGTTGAGCTTGCCCGGCTTGTATTCGACGCGGAAGTTGTATTCCGCGAAGAAGGACAGCCACCTCGCCATCCTTTGGGAGAGGTGAGGCGAGTTAGTCGCCGTCCTCAAGGACGCGTGGTCTGTGTAGATCACAAAGGGTCGGGAGCCCAGAAGGTGAACACGAAACTTCACAAGGGTATATTTCATTGCCAGGAGCTCCTTGTCGTGGACAGGGTAGTTCCGTTCGGTGGCTTTGCGCTGCCTGGCCTGGAGCGCGATGACTCGTTCGTGTCCAGCCGTGTCGGCCTGCAGCAATGCACATCCGATGGCGTAATCGGAGGCATCGCAGACGACGCTAAACGGCTTCGTCTCGTCCAGCAGGGCCAGGACAGGGGCCTCTTAGAGACTGGCCTTGATGCTGTCATAAGCATCCTGGTGCTCTTGCTCCCAGCGCCAGTCGACGTCCTTCTGAAGGAGGCTCGACAAGGGCTTAGCGAAACCCGCGTACCCAGCGCTGTACTTGTGAAGGTAGTTGGCCTAGCCCAACCACTTTCGAAGATCCTTCTGGGATCGGGGCGTCGGCCATGCTGCTATGGCCTTGACCTTGTCTGGGTCAGCCCGAACGTTCACGTTGCTTACGAAGCAGCCGAGAACCTTAATCTCTGGCGACGCGAAAACGCACTTGTCGATGTTGGCGTAGAGCTTGTTTGCTCGCATTTCGTCCAACACTCGACGGAGGCGTCCTAGATGCACCTCCATGACCGTCTCGCCTCCCTCGGCACGGCTATGGACGAAAATGTCGTCGAAGTACGTCTGTACGAAGGTACGCAAAGGGCGGAACAATTGCGTCACCAGGCGATTGAACGTCGCTGGGGCGTTAGACAAGCCCTGCGGCATGACGAGCCACTCCCAAAGCATGCCGCTTGGAGTGCTTACCGCGGTGAGCGGGATGTCACTCTCGCGCATCAGGATTTGGTAGTATCCGTCTACCAAATCCAGCGCACTGTACAGTACGCTCCCGGTCATGTTGTTCAACAAACACATCCTTTCGTGGGATCGGTGTTTGGGCCGGCACCGTTGCGTTGTTCAGCTTGTTCTATGCTTGAACGAGACGCCACTTTCCGTTCGGCTTCCAAACGCAGAAAGTTGGCGTCGAGTGCGGGGATTTCGACTCCCGCACCATGCCTGCCTTTGCTTTCGCGGCGAAGAAGGCATCAATGACCTCGCACTGTTCGCGCGGGAGAGGCCATTGCCTCGTGACACAATACTTTGTGCCGGGCACGAGATCAATCTCGTGCCGTACGCCTCGATCCGGTGGGAGTTGGGTCGGTGGGTGTTTATTCACCACGTCCGCGTACTCCGTCACCAAAGGATACACCGGATCCTTGAGGTTCTTGAGAATCGCAGAACCCAAGCGCGCCTGACGCTGCTTGTTCATGTCTTCCAGGACGTTCTCGTCCAAGACAGAGGAGGAGTTCAGCTCCTCCTGAGTGGTCTCAGGTCTCATGAGTACCATCTCAGCGATCTCTCCAGCCTTGAGGTTGGTCAGGAAAGACTCAGCCGTCATTTACTCGAGGTGCAGTATCTCTGCAACCTCTGGCAACGGTTTCAAGTGGACACCAGATGCCTTGACGGGTAAACCTGTCTCGCCATCGAAGATGTGATAACATTCTTCCACCGGCCTTGTCGGAGGAGCCCGGGCCCTGGACTCCGAGTCGCTTGAAGCGACGTCGATCGGAACGAAGTTCGGATCCGACTTGAGGCGGCGGCGGCGTCTTTGCCGACGGCGTCTGTGACGGGGAGCTTTGCTGCCCACGTCTAGGGATGACGTCGCTACGACATCCGAGGCACTCGCGGCCTCGTGTGGTACTGTTGTACCCACACAGGAAGCGTGTTCAACGCCTTCCTCTTCAGTTAAGGTCTGGGCGGCCTCGTGTGGTACTGTTGTACCCACACAGAAAGCGTGTTTAACGCCTTCCTCTTCGGTTAAGGTCTGGGCGACCGCGTGTGGCACTGTGTTACCCACACAGGAAGCGTATCCGACGTCTTCCTCTTCAGTTATGGTCTGGGCGACCGTGAGTGGAACTCTGTTACCCACTCTGAACACGCTGTTCACAGTGTTCATGACAGCTGCAGCTGTCTGCGGAACTAAGTTACCCGCCTGTGGACCTAAGTTACCCACTTGGCCGGCGCCTCTTCTGGGCGCGGCCACCATCAAAACATCCTCGGAGTCGTCATATACGTCGACGACTCCCAAGCATCTGCCGGATGCTTTGGTACCCTGGCAGCCCTCGCGGGCGCCCCGGGTCCTGACAGAGGTGGGAACATGACTCACCAATGCTCTGTCGGACTGCGCAGGGCGGCTGGCACCGATTGCCTTGCCTCGCCAGTCGATCCAGGGCTTGTGCTTCTCAAGCCAGGGCATGCCCAGGATCATATCATATGGATCCATATCGAGAACAGTGAACTGTTCGAGGCTGTCAAAGTCTTCAAACTTGACAGCCAGATCCACTTGGACGTTGGGGACAGTGACGACCTTCCCGTCGGCCAGTCGCACTGACACCGTCCCGTTGCCCTTGCTTTCTCTCAAAGCTTCGGACAACTTGTTGCTGTTACGAGCAACCGTCTGGCGGCGTGCGAAATTCTTCGACGCCCCAGAGTCAATCAAGATTCTAAAGGGATGATCGTATCCCCGTACACATCCGTGTACTACGAGCAACCCGCCGCTGCTCTTCGCCGATTCGAGAGTGCGAAGACTCTCAGGGGCTAAGTCCCCGTGGTACGCGCCACCCGCGCACCCATCACGAAGACTTAGTTCTTCCCCAGTAGGGCGCTCCGCCCCTACTGGTTCCCTGCGTTCCCCTGTCCCCGGGATCCTGGCTTTTGCCAGCGACCCTTGAGGACGGGCTTGGGGAAGGACCGTCTGCGGAGTCTTTCCGCGGGGCAGTCACGCTTGAAGTGGCCCATCTTTTCACAGCCGAAGCAGCGGATGTCACGCTGTTCGGCGGACCCGAGTTCCATGGGAACTGGTCCGTTGGGGCTTGTTCGACCGGGAGCCGACAAGGAACTCCCAGGCCACGCTGAGGCCGGCGTACGCGCCTGGCGATGGCTGTACTATTCTTGAAGAGCCACTTGAATCGCCTCTTCAAGGGTGCTTGACTGCACCCGGAACAGCTGAGTGCGTGCGGGGCCCACTCGAAGGCCGTCCATGAACACAGTCATCTTGATGTGTTCGTTGAGTGGGTTTCCCACTAGGGACGCCGTGAGCTCCCGTATCTCTTGCACATACTCGTGCAGTTCGCGCCTCCCTTGTTTACACGCGAGGAAGCGCGAACGCTGGCGGTACTCGTAGTTCGCCGGGAGGAACGCGGCTCGGAGCTGTTCGCACAGCTGAGCCCAGGATGTGAAACATCCAGGGGATGTTGCTTCCCGAGTGTACACCCAACTCTTAGCACGACCGCTAAGGTTGGAGAGTGCAAAAGCAACACGAAGTTGCTCGGTCGAGATCAGAGCCGCGTCCATCGCGAGCTCTACTTCTCGGACCCAGAAGTGAAGGTTCTCGCCTTCCTTCCCTTCATACGGCTTAACCTTCAGCCGTATTGGCTTCGGGTGAGGCGGATATGCTTCCGCCGCCGGAGCCTGCAGGTTCTTCCGCACATGCGCGATGAGGCCCTGCTCGTACGCGTCGAATGCATTGACGCGCTCGAGCTGCTCGGTCGGTGTTGACACCACCAGGCTCTGCAGGGCCTCCATCCCGAAGATGCCTGCCATCTTCCGAACCGAGTCGAACTGAGAGTCGTTCAAATGGGAGAATTCGTTCCTATCCATGGCAACGAACTTCGGAGAGGTTCAGGTAGTCTACCCGCGGTGGCGTAGATTGACTACAAGTGCTACCAAGTGTGACGGGGTCACACAGCACCTTGCGCTAGAGGAAGTTATCTTCCGAGAGTATACAAACTCTCAGTGAACGGCAGTTCACAGGTCCCCTCTTTAATTAAAGAGAGCGAAGTGACCTAAAACAAATAGATTGTAAACTGAGTATATTTATAGGTAGGTTAAGTTTGGGTTTAATACAAACTATTAGTTACCTATAGAAATGCAATGTCATTTAACCAATGATTGGCTTTGAACGACCTTGGTACCTTGTACCAAATATCCCGGATTATGACGTGTCATACTCCTGAAGTGTGAAGTGTCACACTTCATGTAACCAGGGTACACTTAGGGCTACGGACCCCGGGACAAAAATGAAATTTGAACGGTGCTCTTTAAGCCCGATGTATAGTCCATATACAGTGTGTACAAAACACAATATCGATCTTAGCCAATGGGGGCCGCCTTCTCTGCGCTCGGCAGCTTTTTAGCGAATCGAGGCTGCCTTCGCAGCGCCCGTTTTATTAATGAGCGTGAGTTAGTATCTCTTGCTACTAGTATTACTGTAACCAAATTAAAATGAGAGGGTATAATACGAAATAACATACTAAGAGAACATCAACAACAACAAAACATAAGGAAAAGGATCATTGTGATTCTTAGCAGAATATAATTGGACGCATATTGGCTTCACTCGGAAGGCTTTCGTCTCCAGTCTTGGACATCCACGCTGGTAATGATTGAGCTACTGGACCCAATATTTACGCCGACGTGGACGGAAGCTCAGGGGACGCGGCAGTTGTAGGAACCGCGTACATTGGGGTCGCTGGCGCAACAGGGGCGGGGGTTTCCACATCGGGTGCCGGAGTAGCAGGCGGCAGTGCTGCGCCCAACAGACCCACCACGTGACCAACCAACGCTGGAGTGTTACCGCTAGCCGCCGACGAAATAATACCTGCAGCATTGGAGAGTACCGCAGGGTTTGACGCGAGACCCGACAGGAAACCAAAGAGGTCCTCGGTCGTCATCGCACTTGCCGGTCCCGCCTCCGGACTGTTCGCCATCATCTCCTTGATTTTCTTCGCAAGCTGCACGCGGTCGGCCTTGGAAATAACAATCCTGCTGTTCTTCACGAGGATGTTGTTGTTCTTGGCGTTGATCGTATTGGTGATGACCCCACCGTGCAGTCCAGACGGCGTAGTCATGGGTTGATCGTCCTTATCGGCCGCCATCAAGTGGTCGGCTGTCACATAAGACAGCAAGTAAACAAGCGCAACCGCGATCGAAGCAGTAGAAAACTTCATGGTAACCGGGAAAGCGAAGCGTGGTTGGATCGACTTGAGTACTTGGAGTCCAGTTGAGTAATGACAATTATGTTAGAACCAGCAAGAACATTTACGTACCAAAGTCATGGAAACACACAACGACATTTCGGCGAGCTCTCACAGCTGAATCTCGGTAAAATCGTAAAGCAATCTTTCGTGTTATCTTCTGGTGTAAAGATTTTTATGTTGGAAAACATGAAAATCTAAATCGACAGTCACGACCGGTAAAACCTTGGTTGGCACTGTCAACTTGACAGGAAAGACTCGAAATTAAACCAAGCAAATGTATTAAACTAATAAACTCAAGAAGAAGCGACAAGTGAATACTCGGTTTCCGTACCTTGTCGTATCGTGAATCAATGCGCCGATTGCCTACGTTCCAATACCCAGTCGCAGCGTGCGCGAGTCGGACGATTCGTCGAAGCCTTCCACAAAGCGGAATGCAACTCTTCGCTTGGGCTGAGCATCGCCACTGCTCTCACTTAATCGCTTCAGCGTGTCGCGAGCCGTCCTTGGATGGGACGGTCGACGCTGTATAGAAGTAGAACAGTACGGAGATATAAACAGAAGCAACAAGCTAAAGACAAATGTCAACACAAATTCTTTTCTGCTTGTTGTCTCCAAGGAAAATTCACGACTGACCTCTTACCTTCTTCCATGCGACTCGCACCTCGTCCTCCACGGTCCTCGTTCCCGCCGTCAGGCATCGTTTCGCAATCATCGTCCACGATTTTGTACACCACGACAGCGAGGCGGTACCGCTCACCCCACCGCCTCACCGCTAAGATACACTGTCCTTCAGTAGCTCCGGTCCCCCCCATGACTTCCGTCCTCGTCATCCACGGGGACCGTACGCTCTAGCCGCGCTTGTCCCACGGAGACCGAGGCCGGCCCACAACTTCTCAGTGACTCCGTCGTGGCCCTGCATGGCTTCATCGAAAGCGTGGCCCACACGAATCTGGTCGGCCGTCGAAAAGTGCGGAGGAGGGTAACGGAACTCACCGTGCCCAAGACGGTGGCCGCCAGAACCACTCGTGACACCCTCCCCGACTGAAGCTTGACGCCCTCGTCGAGCACCCGTAGGGCCTTGATCAGTTTTCCGGGCACGGTGAGCATCTCGGCGCGCCCGCACTTCGCTCAGCCGCCGCACCTTTGGCTTGAGACCCACACAGCCGTCGGCCTTCCAGAACGCTTTGCTGAGGCGTTCGGCCTGCTCCTGCTCCTCAAGGTCCTTCGTCCACCGAGCGTATCTGTCCTCAGCGACTTGCTTAGGCGTGCGTCGGCCCTTGGAGGCCTCGCCCCACCGCAGTAGGCGGCTAGTAGCGGCTAGCAAGACGGTCCAACCACTGGCAAGCACCACATCGTCGTTCCAGGCGAATCCGCCGTCGACACCAAAATGCCTCTCCGCCAGTACGTAGTTCCCCAGCAGTAGTAGCGCCCCGACGCCGCAGCTTCCATAGAGAATCCATTCCACAAACTCGTACACGTAGACGGCCGTGTACAGGCCGGCGTAGGCAAACAATCCTAGGAGTGACGCGAAAGCGCGGAAAACACAGCACGCACGGTCCATTGTTCGGTGACACTCCGCGCTGGAGCCAATCCAATACTTCACTGTAGACTTGCAGCTCAACTCGAGCACGTCGGGTAGGAACACGCACCACAAGGCGTGATAGGCCTCCAGCCAGCGGTGGGCAAGACGTCCCAACCCGTCCTCGCTTTCCGCCTCGTCCTCTAGCACCACCATTGGCGTCTGGAACAACGCCTCGTACAGCTTCCAGCGACGCACTGCCGGAGTCCTCTCCACAATCCTCACGTAGTCGGCGAAGATCCGGTAGCGCCGGATGCAAGTCTTACACAGCCCGGTCCACTTGATCACAAATTCCAATACAGCGCCGACGGTCCGCCCCACCACACACCACAACGGCTTGGTGATCATCCAGCCGACGGCGCCGCTCAGGGCCCAGAGCAATCCAGACCAGTGGCGGACGGCTGCCGCCCACCCCATCTCAGTCCACGGATGACGCACGACGCTCCACCCAAACGCCCAGCAGATCCAGGCAAGCCAAACGCACCACTCCGTAGCCTCAGCGAGCAACTCAATCATCGTAGCGCAGCCCCAAACGCAGGGAGTCCGATCTTTGAGTAGTCGTGCGTACCAGCGCTAGGCCGGTCCAGATAGGCAGGAGCCATCAATCATCGTTAAAAGAACTCCATCACCGTCACTTCTCGGCGCTGGGGCGAGTCCACGCCGTAACCCACAATCCATTGTAATCGGATCTGGGACCGTGCCGGGCCCTCGTCACAAACCGTCGATCACGGTGGACAAACCATCTCCCCCACCAGCGCATCTGGCGTATCACTGAACCATTGACGGTCCCTGACTAGGTCAAGAACCATCAGCCTAGCGGTAAGATCCAATCTTTCGCGCATTTCCGCATTCGTTTCCTTCTCCTCACGCCGCCGCAGTTCTTCCCGCCTTCAACCATGGCCAGGACCAAGGAATCCAGCAAGGATGTCGTCGTCCGCCGTCTCCGCGCCCGCCTCGACAGCAAGGGCAAGCCGTCGGAGGAGGACAATGTCTGAGCGCCCAAGTGGACTTCTACGCCGAGCTCCGAGATCACCTGGCCGTCAACGAGGCCTCCTCGGGGCTGCAGGCAGTCGACGCCCTCGCCCTCGCCCTTATCGCGGATGACGACTCCCTACCGGCCACGCTGACGGAGGTCGTGACGCTGTTGCCGCCGCCCGGCTCCTTCGAAGACGGACAGCCCCCGACTCATGCTCTCTTTGCGCCGGAGCCCGACACGACCATCAAGCGCCCAGCCCCGCGCAACAAGGCCCAGTCGAAGCGTCCGGCCAAGAAGCGACGCACCACCGCGAACTCCCTGAAGTATTCCCTTGAGCTCCCCGACGACGTGCCGGCCGCGATCCGTCGTGACGTGGACCGCCTTATCAAGGAGGCGGCAGGACGAGGGAAGACTCCTTTCCGGCTGGCGTATCCGTGGTCCGGGCAGCGAGCCTGGCACGACCCGCAAGAGCACCCGCTGCTTCCTCTTCAGCACTGGCGCTTCTGGATAGCCTCCTTCTGCGCCTCTTCCTGCCCGGCCCTCGCTCACGGTTTCCGGCCCCGCCGGCGACGAGGGCGAGGAAGACAAGGGCGACGAAGCCGACGACGCCACCGAGGACGCCGAAGACGACGAAGAAGGGGCCGAAGACCGCGAAGAGGCAGTCGGCGATGAAGAGGAAGCGGAAGACGGCGAGATCACGGAGAGCAAGGCCACCTCCAAGTCCAACAGTGACGCGTCCTCGGTTGACCGCAGCCACGGTTCGGCGTGACGTCCTCCAAGAAGTCTTCGGGCGACGGGGAGGCTAAGAAGGCCGCCGCGGCCACCAAGAAGACCAAGTAACTACCGCCAACACGCGCTCAGCGTCGTACCGTAGCGTAGTGCCTCCCGTCCGTACTCGTAATCCCTTCCCTAATACACTTGCTTCCGTTAATCTTTCCTTCTTCTTTTTGTCAGCTCGTTCCATCGTTTCTCTTTTCCAAATATAAATAAGTAATATAAACTCCACACCTGGTCCGTCCGCGTAAGCGTCTTGGTACCCAATCCACTTATCGAAATTCATCCAATCCTGACACCACAGACACTTATTCCCGGACACAGGCTACTCCATCAGTAAAAATCGTCATCACCGACCTCCGCGTTCGCATCCGCCAGGCGAGAGCTCCGTCTTAACTCGGGTAACCGCTGCTTCTTCCGTTCGGCTTGTTCGAAAGCCGAGATCAGCGACTCGTACTCAGGCGACAGCGCCGCCCTCGGCAACCAGAACGTCTCAAAGTTAGCGGCCAGCGCCAAATACTCGATGCCACGGTTAACCACACGTTTGGCCACCAGGAGCAGTGACTCCTGTCAGCGCAGTGTCCCCCATTCCGACGGTCAACCTCTCCAAAAAACTGGAAGCAGGCAGATCAGCCTCGTCCAGCGGACCGTCTTCGATCTCGTCACCGTTCTCCTCCAAGCCCTCGGGCACTTCATCCATGAAGGGCCGAGTCCACCGTCCTCGGAACTTCTTGAGTCGGTTGACGCTCACAGGCACGACTCGGTCGGGGTGCGAGGGTATCGCAATCCTGTAAGTGTTGTCGCCCACCTTCTCAACTACTCGGTAAGGCCCGTGCCATGAGAACGACAATTTCTTCGTCCGCACTTCTCCTCGCTTGGTCCTGAACACCTGATAAACCCAGACCAAGTCACCTACTGCAAACTCCACAGCGACTTGACGGTCCAGTCTCTTTTCATGGCGGTCCTGCGCCTTCAGCAACTGTCGCTCCACGAGGTGTCTGGAGTCGCGCAAGGATCGGAACAGTTCACGCCTATATTGGGCCACTTCGTTGCTCTTCTACTTGGTGCCCAAGTTCAGGAACGCCACATCCAGCGGCAACGCCGGGTCACGTCCGTACAGTGAGAAGAAAGGAGTGTCACCGAGAGCCTCGTGATATGACGTCCTGTACGCGAACAACACCCGTTGCAGGTAGAGGTCCCAGTCCGTCTGAGCTTCGCTCACATGCATCCGTAGCATCCCAATCAAAGTACCATTAAACCGTTCGACTAGACCTTGCGTTTGAGGATGGTACGCTGACCCAAACAGCTTCTTGATCCCCAAAGTCTGATAGAATGACTTGGTCACCTCAGACGTGAAGTTCGACTCGTTGTCGCTCAACAGTCGCGACGGCACTCCGTGCCGAGCAACCACTCCGTTCACCATAGTATCCACGAAAGTTACCGCATCCAAACGTTCTACTGCAAAGGCTTCCGCTCACCGCGTGAAGTAGTCTACGAACACGAGGATGTACCGGTGACCTCTCCCAGTCAAGGGCAAAGGTCCTATAGCATCGACCACTAGCAGTGAGAACGGACCAGTCAGGTCAGCCACCGGCATGCGCTGCATGCGCCCAGATCGCCGCGGTCGCGGTCCTTTCCCGCCGGCACACTCGCTGCAGGTGCGGACGTACTCTTCAACATCTTTCGTCCAGCCAGGCCAAAAGGCATGCCGTCTAACCTTCTCCGTCGTCCTCGTCAGTCCCATGTGAGACGACAGCACGTCCTTGTGACAGAAATGCAGCACCGTTTCCACGTATGTCAAGGGCACGACGGGGACTGAGACCGAGCGAGCAGGGCCGGCTCGAGCCGGCAAGTTTACGCGACGCAAGAGCATCCCTTCTTGGACGGAGTACCTGGGTCCCATCCGCACCACTCGCGCTCGCAGGTACGGATCCAGCGGCAACGCACCGTCCAGCAAGAAGGCCACCAGCGCCTTGATCCACGGCACCTCCAACTGCTCACTCACGAACTGTTCACGATCAAGGCTAAACTGGTCAACGGGTGACGGGGCGACCGGTCCGACTTCTTCTCTGACAGGATCCTCGCGTAATCCAACCGGCCCAGGGTCGTCAACGTGCCCATCGGCCGGGTCGCCAGCAGCTCTGTCGGCGTATTCCACTTCTTCGTCCGCCTCGGGACTCGAATGCTCCCCGACTGAAGACGGACCCACGGCGTCGTCGTCCGGATTCAGTAGGTCGTTCATAGTCAGCGCCGCCACTTTGCCCACTGGTAGCCGAGAGAGACCGTCCACATGCCCCATAGCCGTACCGGGCTTATGGTGTACCTTGAACTGCAGACTCGACAGCTCCATGGCCCACCGGGCCATTTTAGCGTTCGAAGTCCGATTGCCGGGACTGAAGACCCACGTAAGCGCTTGGTGGTCCGTGTACACGTCGAACTCGCGCTTGTCGAGATAACTCCGAAACTTACGCGTCGCCCAGACGACGCCCCAGCACTCAATCTCCGAAATCCCATCCTGGTTGTTAATTTAATTCTTCTGCGAACCGGTCAACAACTTGCTGGCGTAAGCCACTACACGGTCACGGCCATCAACTTCCTGCATCAGACAAGTGCCGACGGCGTACCGGGAGGAGTCCACAAACAACTTGAATCGCCTCCGGCCGTCCGGATAGGCCAGGATAGGAGGCTTCATAAGAGCTCTTTTCAGCTGCCGAAACGAAGCCTCGCAGTCCTCGTTCCACTCAAACGGAGCATCCTTCGCTTTCAGTCTCTCCAGAGGCGCCGATATCGCCGCATATCCAGGGATGTACCTCCGAAAATAGCTCGTCAGGCCCAAGAACGACCGAATCTCGTGCAGGTCCCTCGGCGGCCGGATGTTCATCACCGCTTTCACTTTCTCAGTATTCGGCAGAATGCCGGCCGGCGTCACGATGTGACCCAAGAATGCCACCTGACTCCGCCCCCAATGACACTTCTTCATCTTGAGCTTGAATCCCGCCTCACGGAACCGAGTCAGCACCTGACGGACACGCACTAGGTGCGTAGGGAAATCCTTGCTGAAGATCACACAGTCATCCAGGTACACCAAGCACACTCGCCACTTCAAGTCCACTAAGACGGTCTCCATCAACCGTTCGAACGCCGGCACCGCATTACAGAGTCCAAACGGCATCACCAGCCACTCGTACAGGCCAAACTTTCACGTGAACGCCGTCCTGGCCACGCTGCCCTCGTCCATCGGCACGTTCCAGTAACCGGACGCGATGTCCATCGTAGAGAAGATCTGCGCACCTCCTAATACATCCAGGATATCGTCAATCAGTGGCATAGGATAGCAATCCGTCACCGTCACAGCATTAAGCTTCCGGTAATCAATACAAAAGCGAATTCCTCCGTCCGGCTTCCGGATCATCAGGACGGGACTAGCCCAAGGACTGTTCGACGGCCTGATCAACCCGAGATCCAGGTATTGCTGCACTTCAGTCTCCATGACTTCCCCTTCCGCCATCGACACACGGTAGGGCGGCTGCTTTATGGGATTATTATCCCCGGTGTCTATCTCAAACTTGAGTCGGTCTGTCCTCCCAGGTTTCATGGACGACGTGACGAATAAGTCGTCGAAGCGGATCAGCTCCTCGCGGAACAGTTCAATCTGTTCGTCCGTCAACTTGGACTGTGAGAAATCCGCCTCGCCCTTCTCTTCCTTGTCGGGCGGCACCGTCGGCTCGGGGCTCTCGATCTTCTCGAGCTCCACTAACTCAACGTTCCCCGAGGTCGACGACACTCTCGCTTCTTGGGACTCCGTCGACTCGACTGCCGCGCCGGTAGGCACGGAAGGCGAGGGAGGGCCAAACGCCGACTCAGGAATCACGGACACGCAAGCGACCGTGGAGCTCTTCTTGACCCAACTCACGTCGGGCGAAGCATTGCACACCTCGACTAGGACCTGGCCGTTTTCCACCGTGCACAAGGTCCGCGCGACACACAGAGTAGGCGAGAGACCAACGTGCTCTCCACCAGGACTGTAGTCTTGTCAGCAGCGTCGCCGACGACGTTGGCCATCACTAGAGCTTTGCCCTCGCGGAGGCAGGCGTATCGAGGCGGCCATCTGAGCCATGTAGGCGTCCTGCACCACCGTGTACCCGAGCGGTAGCTCCTCACCGGTATCCTTGAGCGTCATCCTTCGTTCGGCGACATCGATCACCGCCCCAAAAGCACCCAAGGCGTCCACCCCCAAAATGGCGTCGACGTGCAACTTGTCAGCTACCAGCACACTAAGGAAGACCTCCACAGTTCCCAGTCGCAGCGAGAGACCGATCCATCCCCGTATCTTGAGAGGGTGTCCCGACGAGCTCTTGACTTGGCCGCCGTACGGCTCCAGCGTCTCCTGGGACCGGCCCAATCGCTTCAATACTTGACTGTCCACGAGACTCAGAGTCGCACCAGTGTCGGCCAGCATCCGAGACGGTAAGCACTCAATGTACCCACTCGAGAGTGCCTCAAAGTTTCCAACGGCGCACACGACTCGCCGGCCATCCTCGACCACGACATGGACATCGGCTCGTACGTCATCGTGGGAGACGCCAAACCCACCAGGCAGCTCCACGGTAACTACTTCCACCAAGCCGGTCTTCGGCACCTTCGTAACGACCCTTGGTGACGGCCGCACCACCTCCACGTAGTGGGAGGCGTCGTCTTCGTCCTCGGGATAGAACAGCAGCTCGCACAACCCAGCCGTTGGCTCGAAGAGCGTAGAGACATCCATCCGCCGGGCCGTTCTCCGCCGCTCACGGCGTCGTGCCGACGAATTCCTCCCCCGTTTAGCCCGCAGGAGGAGCTTGGTCCAGACGAGAGCCCCTTCCGCCTCTAAGTACGCTATGAGGTATGTCTCTAAATGTCCCCACGGTATCCCGCTCTTAGTAGGTCCAGCCGCCTCCCTTTCGGCGAGAGCCCGGAGACGCTGCCAATCCGGAGTAGGCGCCTCGTCCCACCTAGGCTGAACTCCGTCTGTCGTAGGTCCGTCTTCGCCGGGCGTCGACGCCGTCGCGCTACCAGCCTCCAAGCACTCCTTCAACCAGCGATAAGCGGCGGTACGCCCCGTCGCACGTACGCCTCGATGATCAACTACCGGAGAACTGTCACCCTGGCGTGAAAGTCTTCCGTCCTCTTCTCCAGCATCCGTTCGACGGCGGGCAACAG